TGTCTGATGAATTGGTTGCTAAATCCAGTTTATTTTGAAGGCCGGGGCAGCTAACCAGCTAAACATAACACCAGATGCTGGTGGGCTCTTTCCCTCCCTGCTAACGGAGATAAAGGAGATATTTTCGGTGTGGGGTTGCAGGTGTACCGGCTGCCCATTGACCTTCTCTGTCCTCTGCAGACACAGCACTGCTCTCTCTAGGGAGCTCCATTCCTGGAAGGCAGTTTCAGGCCTCACTGAGCTCTGGGCTCCTTCCCTGCCCCTCACTTCTGTGCCTCCGTGCGCATTGTTCCTAGGGACCTGCTGCAGCTGACAGCACATTTAGGATGCTGACTTGGAAGAAAATCCAGGAGGAAACATGGAGGAAGCTTCTCTCCCTTCTTGTTCGGGGGGATGCATTTTTTTTAAAGCTCAGAATTGGAATATTTGGCTCTTTGTCCTAAAATTATGATACTTTGAGCAGAGATGAACTTGCAGTGATTTTCCAGCAAAACATAAGATACAGAGGCAAAAAGCCTCACCCAGACAAGGCCTTACTCAATCTAACAGTTCAATTTGAGCTTGAGCAATGTCAGCCTTTGCATATAAACAGGTCCCCGGGTGATTTACAATATGCAATAACTGTGCACGTGGTGTTAGCTGTCTTTTCTCCAGCAGAAGATATTGTATTTTAGGGTATTTTAGCTCAAACATTAGTTGAATTGCATGTTATCAGGTATTACTTAATACAAGTAAAACTAGTTTGGACCATGTAAAACAGAAAACATGCCTATCGTTACTCCATGGCAAGATTGGCTGGTGCCGCCTGAATTCTTATAAGTGTGTCTCACTGGCTGACACTGAGACCAATACAACCACAGAAGACACTTCAGGACAGTCCCTGGCAGAAACCTGTATGTCACAGACAGAACCATTTGTTTACAGCAGCTATGAAAATGCAGATACTAAATTATATTAGGAGGTGATGTGACACTTTATATGTAACAATAGATAGAAAGAAGTGTTGCCCATATTAAGTGGTTAACAATCAGCCATCCATCCACTAATTCAACAAATATGTATCGAATACGTACTAGGTACCAGTCATTGTTCTAGATATTGGGGTACAGTGGTAAATGAGAGACAAGGCCCCTTTTCTCACGGAGGTTACATTTTCAAGTGGAAAGACAGACAACAAAAAGACAAATAAATAAAAACAGTCGAGAAAAGACCAAGTGACAAATACAAGGATGAAAAACAAAACTCTAGGTGCTGTGATAGCAGCTGGGTGGTCAGGTTCAGATTTTCTGAGGTGTCAACACTCAACCTAAAACTCGAATGACAAGAAGGGGTCTAGCACATGAGGATCTGGGGAAGAACATTCCCCACGGAAGAAAGATAGAGTGGGGACAGCAGGCAATGAGGTTGTTGTGCGAGAGAAAAGCGAGAATGGCAGCGTCCCTAGCCCATGAGGGGACTGAAGAGCAGAAAGAGCTGGAAAGGGGACCAGGTGCCAGGTCATGAGGCAGGATGATGACAAAAATAATTAGAGTTTAAGAATGGAATAGAGTGTGTGATGGAATATTGGCATCAGATGAGATAAAAACATAAGATGGAGACTGGAAAAATTCAACTTGCTCCAGGCATGATTTTCATCTAGGTCTTCCTAGTGTTTAGAACTGTCTCTGAGGAAGCCAATCTGCAGCACCATTCTTTATTTGTCTTGAAACGAAGGATGAGGCACTTTCAGTTCTTTTACGAATCTTATATCCCACTGGAGTGTCTATCGTTTACCTCATTTTCCTTGATTACCAACATAATACATGTTTATGATGGAACATTCGGAAAATATAGATAAGTTAACGGAAGACATAAAATCACTCCAAATCCAGCCACCCAGGAATAACTACTGTTAACATTTGGGCACGAACTCTTTTTATGCCTGTATAGTGCAGCAATTCAGAATATGGGCCCCGGAGTCTGAGTGAAAACCATAGCTTTGTAACTTGCTAAGCGAGAGTTGTTCATTTTTCAATCTATCTTAATTGCTTACAAAGTGCCACATAACTGTCTGCAATCTCTTTAAGTCGCAACTTTCTCATCTGCAAAATGGGAATAGTAATGTTACCTTCTTCACAGGACTGCGGTGAGGATAAATGAGGATCCATGTAATGCTGCTGACTCAGTGGCTTGCTCGCAGTACATACTCTAACATGTTAGATATTACGCTATCATCATTTTACAAAGTTAGGGTCATATTGCAAAACCGTCAGTATAAAAATTATTATTCTAATTATTACTAGACATTTTTACATGATCTTAAATATTTTTCTATATTGTAGTTTTTAATGGTTATATAGCATTTTACTGTAGAGATATAATTTAGTTAATTCTCTATTAGGGAAAACTCAAGCTGTTTCCAAATTTTCATGACTTAAAAAAATTCTACAGACAAAATATTGTGAACTTTCATGATTATGTCTTCAGGATAAATTCTAAGAAGTGGCTGGATCAAAGGACAAGACTCTTTGATGCATTTTATTCCATCTTCTACTATGAATTTAGATTATATTTGGATAAGAATGATGTCGGGAAGTAAACAGTCCACATATGTGGGCAGTTTTGTAGGTCTGATTTACCATCAGCTTAGTGAAATACTCTCTCCCCCGGACAGCTCTTTTCTCCACACCTATTCACACCTTCTGGTCGGCATCATCCTCCCTCATTCCCTAAGGAAGTTTCTCAGTTCCAGGTTTCCAGCTGAGCAAATTTGCTTACAATTTTCTGATTTGCTGGGAATTCTGTACTTACTATTTATTTCTCTTGAAGCCATAAACTCATAGGGTTTTAGGGTATTAGAAATCCAAGCCCTTCACCTTAAAGATGAGGAAACAAAAGTAGAGGGAGCAAGTGATTTGTCAAAGTTGGTCCTCTGGTCCCTGCTGTTGTTAGCTAGCCCATCAAGGCTGGCTCATTTCTTTATCTCAGGTACCTAGCTCAGCAGTCAGCACATGTAGACAGCCAGTAATGTTTGCTGAATAAACGACCGTTTGAAGTAACTTAGAGCCTCCTAGGATTTTGTAGCTGGAAAAGACCATAGAGGTGCAGAAAGAGAGGCCTATATTGGTTGATAAGATGTATGTTGTTATTTAGCTACTACTGGCAAGTTGGAATAACAGCTCGGGTCTCTCAATTCCCACAAGGGACAAGGAGAAGCCAGGAGAAGACCAGGCTTCGTGGGACGAGGTGGGTGTCATGTAGAGGAGGTTTCCAACCAATTCTGCCTTGTTCCAGAGAGGGCAAAGCCAAGACTAAGCAAAACTGGAAGTTGCTGGCAGGCCAATTTCAGGATAATACAGAGAAGAGCTTTTTAATAGTTAGGATTGTCCAAAACTGAAATAAATTTTCTTGAAAATAAATGAGTTTCCCCTAATTGGAAGTGTTAAAGTAGAAATAGGGCATGTTTGAACAGAAAAAAATATTGTTTTGTGTGCCTGGTTGGGATAAATGACTTCTAAGGTCTCTATGAAAATTCAGATGAAATGATTTGTGAGTATATATGTATATACACACACACACATAGATAGATAGATAATTGCATAATTTTTTCCTTGTTGATATGTTACTTTGTAATTCTTTTGAGTGTGAACCCATTATCTTTCTCATTATAAATGAGACCAGATAAATTCTAATGTCTTTAGTGACCCAAGATTCCACGGTTCTAAACAATCTTCTTTTTAGTGCTAATTCCATGTGCTGCACACAGTAGGAGTCCAAAAGATAAATTTAAATCAGCTCTTAAGTCTGGAAAAATTTACATTTAAGATAAACTGAACTACAGGCTCCAGGCAGTTGAACAATTTGATTGAACTCAGCTGCTCGCAATCAAATATATCAGTTGATCAAATTCAAGAGCTCGAAATATGCATTAACTTTTTTTTTAACTAAAAAAAGGTTAAAATTAAAAGAAGAAATTTGGGTGGATTGTATTGTGATGAGATAAAAGTGTTCTTTTATTGGGTTTCTGAATGATGATATGAAATTATGGCTGAAATTATTTCTTAGAATATAAAGAATCCTTTTAATATTAAACTGAAAATATGATTTAATTGCACTTTAAGTATGAAGTTACTGAAAGACTGCCCACAGTATAATAATTTTATCCAAACTCTAGTGGTAAGACAGCCACATAAATGAACCACGTTACAGGAATACTTTCAATTTCCAAGGTTTCCTATCAGTAGTAGACATCGAGGTCCTAAGAAGTTCATACTTGGGTTCGGTGAAAAGCTCCACTCTCAAATAGTAACCAAGCAAAGCTTTGATGAGTATCATAGATCGCATCTGTGATGGACTCTGCAATTCCAACCAGAAGGAAACCGGTAAAAAACAGCAAAGGTTGGTTTTCCGGGCTTCCCTTTCTCCTTTCTTTCTTCCTCTATCTCTTTCTCATTAGAAGGCTAAATAAGGAAATTAATGTTCAAATTAAGTATTTCATTTGATTTATCAACATTGTCATTGTTTTGGACACTCAGCAGTAAAAAATTAAGACTCAAGTCAAGATGGGATATCCGCTGGCTAGAATATCTCAGCCATGGCTTTTTCATCCAGTTAGGAAAATTATAATACTTTAGAGGCAGCAAGACCTTCTGTGTTTCAGACATTGTGCTAGATGCTAGAGAAAGAAAAACATCAGGCAGGAACCTTGGCTCCTTACAGAGGCATAGCAAATCTATAGCATCAGTTCCTCATGGAAGCCAGACGAGGCTCAGAGTTTTTTCTGAGCCAGGACTCCAGTCACTGCTCATCTATCACAGAATTGGCATCCGAGGGATATCTATTAGTCACCCCTGGTGGGAAGTCCAGGTTCTCTGGTAACAAGTCTCATTCTAACAATCATAATCTTGGTTATTTTGTGTCCATAAAGTAAGACCCATTTCACATGTATCCTGCTGAAGTTTGATTTTTTGAATTCCACTCTGAGAAACAGGAAACAGAAAAACAATAATAAAAAACATTACCTCCACTGCTGCTTTTGCCCTTTCAAATTCCTCTTCTAAGGAGTGGTTTCTGGAAAGCAATGCACTTCCCCAGCGCTGGTCTTTGGTCAGTCGAGCCTGAAATAAGCCAAACACATGGTGTTATAATATTGGAATCACATAATACAGAAATACAAACATTTTTCTTTTTTCCCATATTCCCCTAGAGTTAAAGAGCCACCAACAACTGATATCATTTTTGGAATACTTTGCAAGCATGATGTTGCCCAAATTGGGATGGTGCCAAAATGTGTGTGAGCATGCACGCATGATTCTTCTAACAGTGGGTCTCAGCCCTGCTCATACTAAAACCAACACCCGGGTCTGACCTCCTAAAGATCTTATTTTCATTGGTCATGGTTCCAGGCATTCACATTTTAGTAAGCCTCCCCATCTGATTCTAAGACACAGCTGTGATGCAGAACCTCCATTAGAAGGCTAGACCTGGAAACTGATATTTGAGCTTTCAGCTTATTAGGAGGTCCAGCCTCAGGTAAAAGTGTGAAAGCTGCAGAGATGGAAGGTGCCTGCTAGGTCTTTCTCCTTATAAATACAGCAGGTCTTCATGCTGAATTTTCTTTCCTTTCCCTTTCCTCTCTTGGCACACCTCTGTCTCGTGTCCCATTTTCTCAGGACATTGCTTTCCGTTAAATAATAATCACTTAGATAAAATCATATCTGATAATGCCAACTGCTTTGTCACAATTAACAGGCAATGTGACATACATCATATACATCTTAATTTAGCTAAATGCAAATAGTTCCAGAAAACCACCCCCCCCAAAGAGTCTGCTGGAATCTAAAAAATGTTACTAATTTTTGATTTCATAAATAATAAATACGCTCTTTCTGAAGAAAATTTGTCATGGAAAATAAGAGGTGTACTTCTAGATCTTTTTTCTTTGCAGTTACATATGTATATTTATGCACCCATAGATAGAACATCATAATGTGTTTCAAAAATGTTTTTGAAACATAAATGGTATGCTATTCTGTAGTTTACTTTTTTCTACTCAACAATATATCTTGGAGAGTCTCCACATTTAGTACTTAAAGATCTGCCTCATTCTTTTCCCAGGGGTTTCTCAGTAAGTGTATTCTGTAGTTTAACAGACTTCTTTCCGTGAGCGTCTAGGGTGTTTCCGATTTTCCTCCATGTAATGCTCATTTTCTTGTTCATCTTCTCGCTCAGCTGTGGGATCCGTGGGGGTACGATTTTGGCTGGTAACTGTTATAGTCTGTGTACCCAGCCCAGGGCCTGACAGGTGCTGTGTGCCCAAGGATGCCTACAGACGGCAGGATGAGGGAGCGTGCCAATAAGGGCAGCTGGGCCTTGGGAGTAGCAGGAGAGAGGCTTACGGAGACAAGTCCCGTCCCATGTGCCCCCGAGTCTCCCCATTGCTGCAGGACAGTGTGGCTCCTTGGCCTGTGGTGTGTTGGATCGCTCTTCCCGCAGGGACGCCCACCCACGACTTCTATGGGAACTACTGCAAAGGCCTGGGCCCCACCCAAGACCAATTAAGTAAAAATCTCTGGGCATGGAGTCTGGGCATTAAATATTCGAAAAGTTTGGAGTGATGCTGAAAAGCAATCGTATTTGAAAACCACCATTCTGTAGCAAAACTTTGGCCTTCACTCAGCACTTACCATCTATACAGCTCAGCTGCTTCTCATCTGTTCTCCATCATCACTGGGCCTCAGGAGGACCCCCCTCTTTTCTCATTACACAGTGGTAATATCAGGGCTCATGACATGCCAGACACTGCTCCAAGTCCTTTAGATACTATCACTCATTTTGTCTTTTCAACAACCCATGAGGTAGCTCTTATCATCAACTCCATGACATCGAGGCACAGAGAGCTTAATTAACTTGCCTAAAGTCAAACAGGTAGTAAGTGGCAGGGCTGGTGCATCGGGGCCATGCTCATAATCACTGCATTATACCGCCTCTCCTGGGAGGCTGTACTCAATTGGCTGTTTTAGGAAGCTGCAAAATATAGAAAAGCTGTTCCTCAAAGGCTCATGCATGTTGAGAGACTCAACCAAGAAGCCCTCAAGAATATTGTGGGCTGAAAACAATAATGAAGTAATTATTATGAATACTTTTGAGCATAAGCAACAGTCTGAGTCTGTGTTTTGCATTAATGAACACTAAATGTTAATTTATTGGAACATTAATTTATGTATCTCTGTGATGCTTCATTGCTGTATCCCTTGCAAACAGTAGGTACTCCATAAATAGTCAGTAAATATTTGTTTAAAATATGTTGTCAAGGAATATAAGAAGGAACGAATAAAAGGTATTTCTCTCCCCTACTCCCGGATGGTAGCTATGGGATCTCAGTCAAGATTTCTTGGTCAACCCAGGAGGCTAAGGGGGGCCTATTGGAGATTGAGAGGGGACTTGTTTTTTGTCCTGTGCCTAGAGTGGCAGAGATCTATGCTTGCAAACCCCTGCTGCCCTGGTTTTGGTGGTGGGGAAGGGCTGCAGGATGCCTTAGTGGGGTGCCCAGTAAAGAGCAAGGCCTGTGAGCAGCACAGAGGTGAGACCTCTGGAGGCATGCCTGTGGTCAGAAGAGGGAGGGAGATAAGGACATGCCCAGGCCTGCCTAGGCATTAGTGCCTCACTCTTGGGTTGGCCAGTCTCAATGGCCACCATGAACAAGCATCCTCTCTTATTCTCCAGGCCCCCGTGAAAGCTGCTACTTTCAATGCAGACATTTGAGGCAGGGTTGAGGGGAGGGATCTCCAAAAACATAAGTGAGATTGACTATCACAGATTCTGGGGAGCAGGATGTGGACTTATCTTTTCGGGGGCCACCATTCAGCCCACCACAACCCTCATCTGACACTCTTGGGTCATAATATATTTAATCAACAAATATAAAGGTGCAGATGGTTTACAACCTTTTAAAATCGATAAGTTGTTAGGATGTTACAGCCTGGTAGAGGACTTACCCTAAAGGTGATATGATACTACTGTCTTGTAGGAAATTAACCCAATCTTATATCAAACTCGGCAAATATTTCGGCATTTCTTTCATAATTGGCTATATAAATCTCTGTTCCTTAATCCTTTGCGTTTGGAACTAACTCTTTTGTCTTCCTGCTGGTTCCCTCATTAATAAAATAAGCAAACATAAATTTTAAAAAGGCAGACATAGGGTAAGAAATAAACTTTGTGCAATTATATAACAATATTATGAATGACCCATGAATGGCGGGAGGAGAAGAAAGAGAAAGCACTAATCTTTTTATCCCAAGGCAGCTCCTTTCATTAGAGGTACTTTTCACCAGTGAAATATGAGCTGTCTTTCTTGTGAAGCCTGCCCTAACCTAACTCCATCACTGTCACCGGCTTCCCTTCATCAATGTTTCACGACCCAAGCGGATTATGAATCATAGTTTGCAAAGGGCACCATATATCAGGAAGAAGAGGCAAAATCTCAGGATTCTAGACTTAAATATTCTCTCTACCGCTTGAACCAGCAAGTGTAAATAGAATCTTACTGTGCAAATGAAATTTTATTTGCTAGTACAATTACTCTTTAGGTATGTGCTATTTTCCATGTTGTTAGAAAAGCCTTAGGCTACTACTAACTCAGGTATTATCTATCTCACATTTTAAAGCTATTGATTTTGCCCGGGGAAGCGTAAATGTTATAAATATTGGCAAATACTGAATGTAAACAGAGGCAGTTTTCAAGCTGAGAATAGTATGAAACTAAAGATTCTGAAACTTTTCAGAGCACAGCAGCATGCCCAGACATGCTGGTTTAGGACTGAGGATGAAATATAGATTATAGCACATGGTGAAGATAAGACTTCCTTTCAACCAAGATTTTTTTTTTTTTACATCTGATTCATTATACATGAAAACAGTAATATGGGACAACATATGTAAGTAATAAACATATAGAAGTGGTGCCTATAAACCGCAGACATTGCTTAGTACTTAACTAGAGGAATGGTCAAAGACACAATGACGCCCGTAAGATTGAGTAGCAGCTGTTATGGCAGCACGACAGCGCTATTAGTTCTCAAGCTTTAGTGGGCAGCAGAGTCGCCTGGAGGTCCCCAGACACAGATTGCTGGGCCCCACCGCCAGGGTTTCTGGTTCAGTAGGTGTGGGGGTGGGCCCCAGAATCTGCATTTATAACAAGATCTCAGTTGATTGCTGCTGCTGCTGTCTGGGGACCACACTATGAGAGCTTCTGATTTAGTTACTGGCAGTACGTGTATGGAGATGGAACTCTGGAGTTCACAAATGTACGCCGGTGCAGGCACTTCTTGTCTTTGTTGCATGATTTTGAAAAATGCTCCACAGTTACAGCGACCTCCTGGAAGTACCTCGACTTTAAAAACAGCATTTTAATTGGTTTAAGCTAATTGGATTTTAGGGTCTCACACTCTCCAGAGAAGAAAGCATTTAGTTCCCCCAGCTGTTGATTGCTCTGATCAGCACCGAGCGAAGGGTAAGAAGAATTAAATAACTGTTTAAGAAGAGTATGTTTTATTCTTTTTATTCAAAATTATGATTGTGACCAAAATTATGACTTGAAAATGACTGTATTTGTGGCTGTGGTTGTCCTAGCTTAACCCAGTTGGCTAACCTCTGTGTCAGTCATTCACATCTTCTCATGCGATTGCCTTTAGATTACTGCTAAAGATCTCCCACCAAAATACATTGTACAAAAGCTCAGGATCTTTTCAAAAGAAATTGAAGGAGACAAGCGATCTGCTTAACTGTAGAAAAGAAAAACATCTACAGCAACTAGGAGACCTTGGGTGACAGTATAACATAGTCATTAAAAGCATGACCTCTGGAGTCAGGCTGCCTGGGGGCAAATCCTGGCTTACCGTTTGCCATTGGTGACCTTGGACAAATTACTTAATCTCCCCAATCCTCGGTATTCTTATCGGCAAAGTGTATATTCACTTGCAGAGTCCATATAAGAATTGAGTACAATAATCATGTAAATACACACACAGAATGCTCAGTACACAGGAAGTGCTCAATAAAACTTGGCTTTTGTTATCATCTTTCTGGTTAGTGCTTATCAGCTGTGACTTTAGAAATTCATTAAAAAAAATCTGTGTTTAGAGCACTTTTGTAAGTGGTTAATGGAGGCCAGCTGGATCCTTACACTGGAGCAGATAACATCTACCTCACTGAGACGGGCAGGATTTTTTTCCTTAATCAATCAACAGACATTTATCGTTGAAGATACACAAAAAAAGCTGTAGCTTATGTGTCAAGAGCAAATTCCTAGAGATTTGTGCTAGGCAGGCAGCATACGGTTCCAATCTCCCTCCAACTATGAAATTCTATGTTGTAGAACACCAAGGAAAATCAGTGCTGATTTTGAAAAGGGATGGACAGTCTACTGTCAGGCATAACCAAAAATTATTTTTGAAACTAGCTTCAAAAATGATAAATGAATAAAATTTTGTCTTTTTAGTTTTTCCATGCTTTAGTCAGCCATTAGCCTCTACTATCAAATTGGTAAATTTGACAACCATTGTTCTTTCTCCTTTTTTGTTAGTATTCTCTTACGTTTTCATTGCAACAAGTATTTGTTGAGTACCTACTATGTGCAGATTTCCTACTAAGCTGAAAGTGATCTTTCAGATTTCTTTCCTTCCTTCTTGCCTTCCTACTGTCCTTGTCTTTCTACCTTCTTTTCTTCCTTCCTTCCTTCCTTCTTTGCTTGCTTCCTTTCTCATTGGTAGCTCACTGTGTATCTCGGAGGGGAAAAGGGATATTGATGTGGCTCCTTCAACATCTTCCAATAAGCAAAACCATATTTATAGTGTATGATCTAATTGTTTCTATTAGACATAAAGGTCTTGATACTTCTTATAACCAAACTCCTCTTTCTAACTTTTTAACTGCTTTGCTTATGGCCTTATGGATGGTAGACACTCAACCACATTTGTTGAATTGAAGTGGAATGAAATGGCAGCCATCAGCATTTGTAAGAGTAAGAGGGTGAGAATGAATTTGGGAGGGGAGGCACAAAAGTGTATATGGCCTCAGATCAGATGATAATTCTAATTTATCTTACAAAGTTTCTGGAAGAAAGTGATAACTATTCTTTAAAATCACTTAGCTCATGTTAACTCTACAAACTTAAGTAATAATCAGGGCTTGCCATGAGAAAGGAAACAGATGGTTTGTGAGTTCTTTCAGGCAGATAAGCTTGATGTGGCTGATACGAGGTGGTGTGTGCTTAAGAACAAGGGCTTTAGAAGCTGATGCGTGTGATAGGAGGGCTGGAGCCTCTTCTCCTCAGCTTCTCCATCTTGGGAAAATTACCTCTGCTCTCCAAGATGCATTTCTCTTCTAAGAAATGGGCATATTAATTCCCAAGATTATTAAAACCATTTCAAATAATATGTTAGAATATCTCATATTACACACTTTATGTGTAATAAATAAAGTGTGTAAGATGACAGCTATTAACATGCATTTCCTTTTGCATTACTGCTTAAAAAATTTAGAAAACATATCTGCACTTATATCTTAAAGTTTAAATTGTTCTGGTTTGGGATACTGCCAATTTGATGGAATTATGAGTGTGTGGAAGGAAGCTGTGCCAAAGTCAGCAAAATAAGAGAGTTCCATGATTGTGACTAAGAATTTGGAGAGCCTAGCTGCCACACATTCTTGTGAAGTCCAACTCAGGTTGGCAAGAGCCTGCCTTGGAGCTCTCCTTCCAGTGTCCGGATTTGAAAAAGAAATGCTTGAACCATCACTCTCCAGCAGAAGTTGGGTTCTTTTGCTTTTGCCTCACCACTATCTCAAGCCATTTAAGGAAAAAGCTAATTTTACATCATTGCCTTCTGCGTTTTTCTCCAATTCTTCAAATGTTTTCTAATTTTTCAGATTGCGTGATTTCTTTAAACAATTAACTCCAAGGAATACTAATTACACAGTTTGCATAAGTGTCAAGAAACTTTATTCTTAAATATATAGAGATTATATAATTTATTATAATCTGCCACTCTGATTAGTGTATTCAAAAACAGTATTTGAAAGAGACTAGACTAGTTTTTCCCCATCTTGAAAAGAAAATGAACTCACAGAATTTTTCTCATTGTGAATTTCGATTCTCTTTGTGATTCTGAAATATGATTTTTAAACAAGGCTTGTAAATAGCTCCTCACCTGTTGACCCTAAGATAATTTATGTTGACTTGAGAGAGAAGATAACCTTTCCTTGATTTTCCTGTGAACGATTTGAGAGATAGTGGAGCAGTAACAAGTTTTGGTGAGCTGGAATTGTTTACTTGAATGGTTTGCAAGTCAGTTTTAAGTTGAATTTTTATACTACCTTCATCACCTTATCTATGTAAAGAGATCATATATTTAAGAGTAGTATGCTACTAACAGTGAAAACATCTTTCTGGCTTTTATTACAAATAGATTAATCAGTGTATTCTCTTGCTGCTGCGTTGGAGTGACTTGGTATTTCAGATGATTAAATCCCAATTAACCATAGGCTGGAATTAAAAACTAACAGATTATGAATTTCCTTAGTTTAGGCAAATCTTGATAAGTAATCATGCAGTGTTTTTAAAAAATCAAATGAAGGGATCAATTCTTTACAAATAATTGGTAACCTTCTAAAAAGATTTGCTACGATTTATCTAGACCGAGAACTGTCACAGTGCATTTTAAATTATGTCGTGGAGGAAAATATCAGAAATCTCATACAAATTTTCCAAAGCACATGGTGTTTGCTTAAAGGCACACGGGTGGATAAGTGGAAGGACAATCTGGTGGGATGAAATCAGACAACCAGCAGGAGAGTAGCAGTCACCGGAATAGTAAGATAAATGAATGTGGGTCTTCATGGCAACCAAGGACCCCAGCTGATCTTCCACTCCTCCAGCTCAGAGTAGAGCAGCCCCGTTGTGCCAAGTCTCCCCTGCTGCAGGAGCAAACATTCTAGTGCTACATTAAATCGTTCCAAGGATTCTAGTTTACGAAACAGTACCAATTACTTTAGCCGAGTCTAAATCTCAAATGCACTTATTAAGAAATGTTTCTCTAATAAATGTTATCAATTTGCTTTTAAGAAAGATACATTTAGAATGAACATAGAGGAAGAAAATACATTTTCATGCTATATTTACAATTCATTAAGCTTCCTAGGGTTATTTGTTCTGGAAGTTAGTTGACTTGTTTTCCAGCAGAGTTCTGGGCGCACCCCTCTCTTGTGAAGGGTGAGCTGTTTGTGGGGGTGCTATTAATGCCCTAGGAAGGTTTCCAGAGACTCTGCATTTCCTCAACATTTCCTCTCTGTGTCCTCCTCCTCTCTGCCACTTACTAGTTGTGGGTGCAGAGACAAGTTTCTTAATCTCACTGTTCCTTGGCTTCCCCTTCTATAAAATGGGAGTAATAAATGAACTTACCTCATAGAGCCATTTGTTAGGTTCAAATGAGTAATAAATATTAGCAGACCTTATCAAAGCATTCAATAATACTTGCTATTATCATAATTATCCCTTTATCACACCTCAAACAATATATCTCCCCTCTTAGTTTAAATACCTTATCTAGTAAACTCAAGAAAATTTCTCTTGCTCACTTTGTCTCACTTATTTTCAAGGAGATTGTAGAGTGCGTGAATGTGGACACATTTCTTAAGAGATCTTCGTAGGTTTAGATCAAGACTGTACCCTTGTAAAGGGTTTGAGTGAAAGAAAAGATTGAGACAGACTTTGGCCTTCTTGGCACAGTCTTAACCATAGGAAAGAACTAGTTATCGACAAACCGGTTATCCTGGAGTCGAGAGCCAAGTAGTGGACAGACAGTTCTGGGTCACACCCCACTTTCACCAGTGATTGGTTGGGTGCCCCAGAAAAGGGATTGTTGACTTCACCAGGACTCTCTAAAAGATCTTTAAAGTGAGGCTAATAATAATTCACAGGATTATTTGAGTATTAGCTATAACATGTGAAAAGCACCAAGTAAAGTCCCTTATGCTTAGTGGGTACTCACAAACGGTAGCTCTGAGTATTATCATTACTGCTAATATTATAATTATTCATCCCTTAGCATAAGGTATATTTTAACGTGACAGTTAGGATCCTGATGTATAAGTACCTTGTTCCACAGGGTATGGATGTGAATGAACACTCAGGATGTAATTTCCTCTTCTTTGTGTTCTGTTACATAAGTAGTGCTAATACTGGAGTAGAACAGATTTTATATGGCAAAATAACAGAACAGTAAATGGAAGAACAAGGAAAAAGTGCTACGTACACAGTGAATTAATCAACACATTTCCAGCCAAGTATATACATATATATAATATATATATATACCATCAGTGATTTTAAGCATTGAGATGGATACTGAATAAAAAAGCATATGAAATACAAAATGCAGAAAAAAGGTCAAACTTTTTTGTGCAAAATTTAAGCAAAATATATATGATAGAAATTATCTATCAGAAAATATAGGTTGATTGAAGAATCATTTTTGTTACCTGTGTTGGAGGCACTAATCCCAGCTCAGAAGCTGACTCAGAGTTGAGGGCGCTTTTCCCAGCACTCAGTTCTGGTTGGGACCTGTGTTCTGAGGACCTGTAAGGGATGAATGCAGGAAATCAGTGCACCTTGAGAAATAAATTCAGCCAGAAACCCAGCCAAGGAACCTAGTTAACTTGGATCATTGAGAGCCATGGTAACAAAGCTCTCATCAGAATTTTGATGAAAAAGATAAACTTTATATATTTCTATTATAATGACAAGGTTCGGAGTGTAAGTGGCTGCAATGTACTAAGTGTTACTGTCTCTGGTTGATTTAGAGTTTAGTTTAACTATGTGCAAAAAGTAAAGAAATGCAATAAAAAGTAAATAAATGTTTTCGTTACAGGAAGTTCTGCTTTATTGAAAAGTATCTTTTTGGGGAGGGGAGCTTCTCACAAAGTGTCTCAGATGTGATTTGATCTTTATATAGAATTTGAAATGTCATAATCAATGGAAATGTGTCAGGGGCAACAGGAGACTGAAACAGGCTGCCCTTTAGGAAGCTTTAAAAACATGGTAAAACTCAGGAGGCCAAATTTTCTCATGGGCATCCACGGATTATTCTTAATTAGTGCTTTATCTGACAATAGATCATTAAGAAAGTCAGAAAAGGTTACCTGGGTAACCAGAAAAATTTAATTTAACTATCATTCATGTAATATATTGAATACACATGCATATGTAAACACATGAATGCACCTATTTTGATTGATAAGCTCAGTTACACATTCAGAGAATTATCAACAAATATTGAATTACGAACCTACCAAAATCCTTATTGGCTGAATATTTGACAACTCAGATGAATTAATTTAGTTTGTAGATGCCACAATAATTAATATTGATATACAGGTGGTTACAATGACACAAAGTGTCTGGATTGACTTAACTCATTGGTTACTTCAGTACATGAGAGAAATAGCCACACAGTTGACACATAAAAGGCCATTTTCTGATATTAAAATATCTTACCATAAGAGTTCTTTTGATCCAGTTCTAGATGAGCATGATTTTCTCTCTGCCATTGGGTGTCCCTTGCTATTTTGATCTCCATGAAACTTAACATCATCCCATTTTTCCAGTTGTGTTTGAATGTCTGCTAAGGAGAGAGGAAGGGAGTGAGGAGGAAGAGGGAAAATATGAGGTACAGACAGAAGAGAGATTAATTAAGACTGAGAATTCTCATACAAGCAAACTTGACTCAAATGGTGCTCTCAAAACCCAAGACAAAAGGTTGCATGCAAAGTAATTAAAACATGTGCAGCTAAATAAAAATGAGACCTACTAAGAGAAATTGGGTTGCTTTCACAGCTAAATAACCTTGAATTTATTTCAAGAGCTGTGTGCATTCTTAATTCTGGATATGATCCCATGGGCTCTGATACAGAAGGAGCATATGGACTAGTATCCTATCAGCCTCCAGCTAATGCTTTGAGGCTTTTCAGCCATGTTTCTAGAGAGAAATTCTGTTTAAAGAGAAGAACCTTGTTGTTAAAAGGAAGTGGAAAGAAGCTGGAACACTCTTCACAGCTTTTGTATAGACTGCTTAATTTGTCACCAAAGGAGGGAATTTATAATGGGGATAGAGAGAAAGGAGGCAAGGGAGAAAGCCAAGAGAATGGTAGAACTGTTTTCTCCCTGTGGCTTAATTCTTGCAGATAAAGAATCTGGCTGGGTTCTCTCTCATTAACAGGTGTGTGACTGCAAACAAGCCACTTAAACAACCTTAGGAGTCAGTGTTTTCATTTATTAAAAATAGGCTTGCAGTCCATGTCCTCTAAAGTTCTTTAATTACTTTCGTGACTTCTTCACGGGGCATTTTTTCAAAAGCAGAGAAATGAAATTTTCATTTACAGGTTTATTGTGCTATATTGTAATGTATTTAACAATATATCCTTATTTCAAATGTAAAAATTTCATTTATTCATTTGTACAGTTGACTAAACACATTGATGGTAAGGAAGTGTTGGAGATACTTATAAAGTTTTCCTCCAGAGAGACAGGCCTCAAAGAGGGATGTGGCAGGGGAGAGGAGATCCTGTGCATGCGACTGGTTTGAACAATGTGTTGGTTCTCTTCCCTTTCTCAATGATCTATCCTTGGGTGATCGCATCCACACCCATGAGTGTCACATCCATTCATAGGCTTCTGATTTTCAAGTCTCCATTTCCTGTTTGGCTCCCTTTCCCAAGTTCTAGATCTATATATTTATCAGTCTGTTGGACATCTCCACAGAGAAGTCCCACAGTTTCCTCAAATATAACCAAGTCAAAACTAAACTCGATAGTTTCTGCCTTGACTTCCTCCTTCCCTCCTTCCCCTCTTGTGTCCCCATCACAGAGTTTGGCACATTCTATATGTCTTCCTTGCTGGCATACACATTCACTCAGTCCACAAGTCCTGTTTTAATTTTTTTTGAATCTGTCCCCCTCTCACTATCCCCTCTGTCATGTTCTTAGGTGTCTGTACTGGTCTCTGCCTCCATTCTTTTCTCCACACACCTACTAGAGAAGAACTTTTCTAAAATAGAATCTGTTGATGTCACTCCTTTGAGTAAAATCCTTCAACCATGCCCTCTCCCCAAACACATGCATGACATCCGAGAACTTCCATTATGACTTTCAGACTTATTTCTCACTACTCTACCATTCTTGAATACTACTGCAATACTTGTATGTGCTTGAAAAGACATCTTTCTGTGTTTGTCTATTTGTGTGTGTGAATCCCTTTCTCTTCTGCATCAGGAATAGGCTGCCCTTCTCCCCACCTCTCTCTGATTTGTATTTTTCATCTGGCAAATCCCTACTCATCCCTCAAGACTCTTCTCACATAGTACCTCCTATAAGACACCTTTTACAACCCCCTGGCTGGGTCAGGGGCTCTATGAAGCTGTTCATGTAGTAACTAACCTGGGCTTCTCTTTATGGCAGCATATAGTTCATAGTTTATTAAAATCATTTAATCATTTTTCCATGTCCCCAGTAGACTCTAAACTTACTAAGGGGCAGAGAGCTTATGTTATTTATGTTTGTATTCCTGAATTTTTTTGTATTCTTATTAATTCATGACCATCTAACATGTACATATTACAGTGCCAAGCGATTTCACATAGATATCCAATTTAATCTCTATAACCTTGCAACTACATTACTAATATGCTTATTTTATGAATATTCACCCACAAATATGTGTACTTGTACACACCAGTCAGTCACAATCTGGAGAGATATGTATTCCCCTTGGCTTTCTGAAATACCTGCCATATTTCTTTCTCCTGAGAAAGGAGAGCTTAATTTGACTGGTTCCATGAGCTGAGGTGACGGTCTCCTTTCTCAGGAAGCTGTACAGTAGATAAAAGTATGGGCTTTGAAGTTATTTAGAGCTAGGCTCAAATTCCAGCTCTTCCTCACACTAACTGAGATCTTAGGCAAGTTATTTAATTTTGAAATCTGGTTCCTCAATTATATCAAAGAATTGTGGTGAGTTAATGGGCTAATACATGTCAGTTGTGTAGCTCAGTTCTGGACATTGTAAGCCAGCAATAAATGGTACCTGATATGATTGTATCAGACGTATCCCCATGCATGTTACACATTACTGTTCCATCTAGCTGTTTCTGGACCTTGGGTTAGAGTTTTCTCTCTCTTTCCACTATCTCTCTTCCTCTCTAGACTGAATGCTCCTAGAGAGTAAGATTCATGTCTTAATTTTATGTGTAACTCCAGTGCCTAGTATAATGTCTACCATTTATCAAGAACTCAATACATGTGGTTTGAATAAATAAATGAATGAATGCACATCAATTATGCAAAGTTGAGTTCCCCAGCTGCTATTTAATCCAAGCAAAACGAAGTGTGTCCTGCCCTGTTTCTTAGATAGAATTCATCTTTTCTACTGCTTTGCCCACGGTTTTAATGTCATTTGTGGAACTTCCTTGTTGTTTCAAGGCAAGGGTGAGCATCAACAGACACAAGCTATTGCCTTACCTAAATCTAAGGCTGATGTCTCCGGGCCTCGGAGGGGCTGGCCTCTCTGCTCACCATCTGCACTGATGAGGTCAGATCCATCAGCCTTTTTCTTGAGGGATGAGGTTTTCGATGAGGCCTCCAACTTCTTAGCTTTGGTTTGGGTTTGAGAGACGGGTTCACTCAGGTCAAGGAGATCCAAGCCTGTGGTCAAAACTATCAGAGACCGAAGAGGTTATGATAAGCCCACTCATTATCCTGAAATTATTTTTTAAAAATAGGTTTCAGTTTGCTACAGAAGGATTTTGTGCTTGTAGTGCAGGTTAGAAGCACCAAATTAAATTAAGTCACCAATGATTTATGAAGACAGTTTGTATTTAGACTGGGAAGTTTAGAGTGGCATGCCCTCCTTTATTTGGCCTGGTACAAATCCACAAGATAGGAGCTGGACCAGCCTCCCAGTGATGAAGGTTTGAATGAAATTAACACGATAAAATTGAATCTGAGTTCAGGTACTATTTACTTAATGGCTTTGCTTTATTTATAGAGAGGTTTATTTTAGATTGCAGCTTTTCCAGAGAAGTCAATCTATCATATTCAGAAACATATTTGCAAAACAGTTATGAGGAAGATTTGGTGAAGTTTCTAAACATCTTTGTGTACTAATTTTAAACTACTAAAGTATAGAGAGTATTAAAGATTGCTGTTAATCATCTTTTATTTAATTAAGCTGTTCAATCAGAAAATGGCTCCCTGTTTGGTTTCACACTAGAGAGGTATATTATAATCCACAGTTGATGATTAGGTCCATATGTTAATACCTCTGCTGCTTAATATGCAAATTTAAATTTCAACATAGCAAACCATAAAATGGTTACACTTTTATTTCCTAGCAGGTTGATTACATTGTATTAAATACTCTAATGAGGGCAGAAATAATAATTTGTTTAAATGCAAACTAGGAGAATGAGAATTAAAAAGGCAAGCTTTGTAAGTCTTCCTTTTTCTCTCTCTTATGGTGCAAGCAACTGGTGTTTGACTAGCCCATTGTGAGAAATGGAAGATTTCGATTAGAGAGGGGCCCTCTGCCTCACCTTTCCACCAGCCCTGGCACCTGAGAGGCTGGCTTCTGAACCAGCCTGGTGGCTGCCGGGCCTGGGATCTCTTCACCCAGCCAACTTACAAAAGCCACCAAAATGACAGAGAAACTCCTTGTGTTAACCCTCCCTGGCACCATCTACAACAACCACTGCCCCACTCCTCCTCTGATCTCCTGGCTTTTCCTCTTGGTAGGGAATGGATTTTTGCTGATGCCTCAACACTCTTCCATCTGCTTCCTCCTTGCACTCACCGCAGGCTTAGGGCTCAACTGAGCTCACAACCAAGATTTCTGTAGTACTGCATGGCCCTCATGAGCTAACCAGCCCTCTGGGATCCTTAGGATAGTGTGTCAAGCTTTACTCTCAATAATCTTGTTTTCTGATTTCAATTACAAATCACAGTGGTTGGATGTTGATGGTGAAGTGGGAAGACCCGGTTCTACCACTGCTTAGCTGTGTGACTTGGAGTAAGTTTCTCGACCTCTCTGAGTTTTAATTTCCTCATCTGAAAAATGGGGAATTAATAGTCTGTCTTTTAGGTATGATATGAAGGTTACATGATCTTATTTGTAAATTGAATGTGTAAAGTGCCAGGCATACAATAGGTACTCAATAAACGTTATTTCCATTCTTTGGTGGCCAATTTGTGATGTTTTTCTTTCCTTTTCCTTTATCTCCTATTTTCCCTGCTCCTTTCTATTTTTGGCAAGAATCAGATCCATACACTGAAAGAAAGAGGAAAGCCCACCGGGAATAAAATGGAGGATGAGACAAAGATATTGGCTCTACAGAAGATGCTATGAAGTAAATTTATCATAAAAAGGCCTGAAAGCGTCAGCTTATCCCATTCGAGTCTTTCTGAGATGGGAGCCACTTTCCAACGCTAAGATGCCCTGAGATAGGAGTGTTTTGTGGCTAGCAAGTACTTGAATGTGGAAGAAAGAAGTGGCTTTCAGAGCTAAGCTGCCTGCCTTTATGTCTAAAATTTAAGCACGGCAAGCAGCCAAGATATGCTAGGATGCCACACATTTCATACCCTTTGAACGTTTACACAGAAATTTCCAGGCCACGTTACATTGGCAGAGATCCTAGGCCCACTGTGATTTCCTTATAACAGAAAAAAGTCTCTGGAATGCCATACATATCTTTTTACTAATTGTACAAACAATTAGGAATTAGTCATTTGCTCCCAGACTTCCTTTAGAAGCAAATTATATAGGAATCATCTACTTGCACACAGGAAGTATGTTTGTTACAGAATAATAACTGGTGAGTATTAATTTAATTCTATATCTGCTTCTCACCATTCAGAATAAATGAATTACTAAAAGAGTGAATTGCGAATTCAAACTTGGCTCAGTACCGTTCCTCTCCCCTCCGAACTGTCCTCGGCATTTCCTGTGTTTGTTCTTAGCCCTCTGTTCCTTTGTTCTTTTCCCAGCAAATGTGAAACAAATGCTTGGCACACACAAAAGGCCTTATTTGTTACCCAGTTGATGAAGGGGTGGTTTGGAGGTTGAACAGCAGGCTTTGAAGCGGAGAGAGTCCTTGAGGACCACAATTTCAAAAGCATAGAAGGATGGGTGCAGCCTTTTACTTTCGGGAGGAAGACAAATCGCATTTTAGCGTGTGTGTGTTTGTGTGTGTGTGTGCACTCTAGTTAAGACTTGAAAATAAAGGGTCTCACTGTTCCACATGGGCTTCAAAATAGCATACTTTGGCATGGAAGGGGGTACCTGCTCTGCTGATTTTCTTAACCCAGTTTTAAAGATTCTCTTAGGCACATGGAAGTTTGGGTTCCAGAATCTGTGTGTTTAAATTAAGATAACAACCTCTTATAGTAGATGTGAAAATGTGTGTGTGCAAGTGTATATGCGGGCATGTTTGTGTGTGTGAGAGAGAGAGACACTTGAAGATGTTATGCTGCTGGCTTTGGAGATGAGGGAGGGGCCACAAGCCAAGGAATCCAGGTGCCCTCTAGAAGCTGGAAAAGGTAAGGAAACAAACTGTCCTTTAGAGTCTCCAGAAAGAATGCAGCCCTGCCAACGCTTTGATTTTAGGACTGTTGACTTCCAGAATTATAGAATAATAAATCTGTGTTGTTGTAAGCCACTGAATTTCTGGTCATTTGAGTCAGCAGCAAGAGGCAAGTAATGCAGCTGGAAGGTCGTTGTCCATCCCGGGAGTCAAACACAGGCTCCATCACTCCGAAGCTTGTGTCTTCACCACTCCTCTCCTATCTGAACCTGGAGGCAATGTGCTGACTCTATTGATGTGCCTTTTATTTTCTTGTTTGTTTGTTTAGCTCCCAATTATTTGGCAGTTTGAGTAGTCTGAGGCATAACTTAAATAGTTGACAATCACAGAAACTTCTTTTATTTGGATAACCCAACTCTGTTGGGTGGAGTTTCCTGAAGATGGAGGATGTAATATGGCATGTATTTGCTTCCATCTATCTCAAGAACACCTGATTGAAGATCACAACCTATTGAGCTGGAAAGCTCCCACAGGGCACTGAAGATGTTTATAAATACTAGATTACCCGGGCCCTAGGAGGTGAGGTTGCTTAAAACGATTAGAATAAAATAGCATCTACTTTGAAGCACTGATTTTATACTTTGATGATAAACACAATGCTATTAACACCACTACCATATAATGAGCCTCAGATTTTTAGTGAATTTCTGTAAAGGAATCCACATGGGGTGCTTAGAGAGGACAGATCATGGGACAATCCTGACTAGCGCAGTCACAGAACGTGCCACAAAGAGCTGATGGCATCTCTGTTCTGCTTTGTAAGCTACTCTGGCATTCCAGAAAATATGGTATTTCTTTAATATGATGGCTATAAAGCAAAGTCCTTTAGGAAGGATATTGCCAGTGACATCAAGTAAATAAATTGGACTTAAATAATGAAACCAACTTTTGCCTTTTTATTGGAAGATGTAATTAAAGCTACTTCCCAAATTTCTAAGTTCTCTCCAGAGACATGCCATTGGATTTATGGATACTTGGGCTTCACAAGAATGTATTTTGTAAATAGTACACTAATCTTGCTGTTGAGATATTTAATTAGGCAGCTGTGATGGGATTGTGAACTTTGTTAAGGGTAGCTCTCCTCTTATATATAAGGGTCTCATATAGGTATATGGGTCCTATATCAAGGAGCAAGATTATTTTTTTAAACCTTGAAAAATATTTCTTCTACAGTAACTGTCAACCTAATGGCTCGTTTATGGATAAAGTTCTTTTAGATTATGTAGATTGATAAGTGCAAACTAAGGACTCCTGTTTTTCTTGCTCTTTAGAAAAGAGCTTTTCCTGTACTTGACATATATTAGATTTTTTTTGGAGATTACAGACCAACAAGTTATTATTGCAAGTTTTATGGTAATTACTTGTCCTACAATATAATCACTATCTTAAAATATTTTATTATCTAGTTACTTTCAAAGCATTTGATATATGCACCTGTGTATAATATATATTTATTTGCCATTTTAAAATCAAGGATACTTAATCTTGGCCTACCGACCACCGAGGGATACAGTTTGAGAGGGCCAAGGAATTAGCTACTTCTCTAGATTATGGATGAATTAAAGGTAATTTAGGATATTAATGGCAAAAACGTGTAAAACACCCTTATTGGACAGCTTGAAATTATGTTCATTGGATGACAAAAAGTTAATCACAATGTAGAAACAAGTCGAAAGCAAAAAAGATAATTGAAATACTTAAGAGAAAAATATAATTTAGAACTTCCATGAAGCGGAAGATTAATATGTTCTATTAGGTTAGTAGAGAAAAAACCTCATCATTTGACTGAACTTTGGAAGAGATAAATTTCCTATGTTTTTTACTCTGTGTTAATTTACACAAGAAATATATTCCTTAAACATTTAAGTAAATGTCAAGATGGTGGCACACTGGCTTTATTTTTCCATTGGAAGAAAATGCCAAGTATAAATCCCTCTCATCTGGATAGAAAATTCTTCAAATTTCTCCTTGATTGACTTGGTACAAACTTGAAGCAGGTTTTCTGCCATATTTTGCATCGAGATTGTTTAATATCCATTCCTTATGTGTAAAGATATACATAAAGCCTAAGATGAAACAGAGCCTTAATGTTCAAAGACTGTTCTGATATCTCTATGTAATTTCATACTATTCTATAAAATGACAATGTTCCATTTAAAATTACTATTTTTTATTAACAATTTGAACATAAAATGATAACTTTACGTTTTGCCCAGAAGCTTTAGCTAAAAATTATTGGACCAAATTAGAATTCTTTCCAAGGTATGCTATAATTTTCCCTGTTTAAAGATGTATAATAATGTGAATTATGTTTTATCTTGAGATATAGACTGTGGGTTTTGTAATAATTTGAAAAAAAGTATATTCTTCAGGGATTAAAAAAATATAGTGTTTCTGCCTTGAGATATACTTTTAAGATTAGAAAACATCATATCAAACAAGAGTCTTCCTTCAGAATAAAAATCTGTGTGACGTGGATGCACTGAAGGCCGAGGCTGAAGAAAGAAAAATCCACAGTCTCAAAATACCAGTTTTCCTGACCCCCTACTGTAGAGGGTGTTATGGGTTGAATTGTGTCCCCCAAGATTCATATGTTGAAGTCTCAACCCCCAGTACCTCAGAATGTGAATTTATTTGTAAATAGGGTTGCTGGAGATGCAATTAGTTAAGACGAGTCAGATTGGAGTAGGGGCCCAATATGTCCTTATAAGTGTCCTGGTGTCTTTGTAAGAAGGGGAAATTTGGACACAGAGTGACATGGACACAGGGAGAATGTCATGTGAAGATCGGAGTTACGCTGCCACAAGGCAAAGAACTACCAGAAAGTAGAAGAGAGGCCCAGAACAGATCCTCCCCGAGCACTTTCAGAGGGAGGATGGCCCTGCCGACACCTTGATTTTGGACTTCTAGCTTCCAAGATTGTGAGACAATAAATTTCTGTTGTCTAATCCACTCCGTTTGTGGTATTTTGTCATGGCAGCCCTACGAAACTAACACAGGAGGCAATACTGTAGATATTGGGATTGTAAGAAATTACACATTCTGTAGGCTTTTTTCCTCCAATATTTCACAGGTCTCTCTTTTACATGTTAGAAAAGTCTGGGTGAAAAGTAATTTTTGAGTCAAATATTGTGTTGCTTTCTCTGGTGGGCCCTTCCTGAGTGACGTAGTTTTAGCATCAGTGAGAACTGGAAAGTGCAGAGGGCACTAGAATCAAGAGCTGAGAGTTCTATGCTTGGCAGCTTTTTCCTAGAACAGCAGGAACTTCTCAGTGCATCCAATTCTCACGGGTTTTCCTGCAGTTAGAGACACAAGACTCCTCTGTGTTTTTCCGGAGGTAGCGCTCTAGTTTTGGAGGGGTGAGCTCCAGTTTCATAGATAAGTAGTATGAATCTGATTTGATAGCATCTGAACTTGTTTAATTTCCTGCCTAAAATGTACCAAGTAAAATTTTATTTGCTTGATTACTTCAAGAGATAGTTGAATTTAGATAATGATTGCTTTGGTGTGATGTAAGAAAGTTAATGCATTGGAAAAGGAAAGCATTGGGTATACTGTTTTTTCAGCTGATATCTAACGTTAATGGTAACATCTGTAAGAGCTTACATGGTGTTAGGCACTTGCATAGATTGCTTCATTTCATCTTCCTAAGTAAGCCATGAGATACAGCTCTTACTATTATTAGAGAGATGAGGAAACAGACAGTTAAGCAACTTGCCCAAGGACACAGAGCTAAGTGGCAGAGATGGGGTTTGAAATCATGAAGTTTGACCCTGGAGACTGCAGACTACACTCCTCCATAAAGTGCCTCTATTCTGTGTTACTCTTTTTGTTTCACTTTTTAGCATTTAAAAAAAAATCACAATTTCCTTTACCTGTAATTTTCTTCATTCACTTAAAAGTATAATGAAAATACGTCAGGCCACAGCAAGCTGAGGACGTGATGGCAAAACGGAAGGACTTGAACAAGACAGTATGTGATTAGCCTCTTCTTTCTCTGTTAAATTCTCTCCCGCAATCCAACACAACCTTTGTTCTTTGATTCTAAACATCATATTTACATCCTTATTTAAACAACGTGCTTTTGAATGTGAATGCTGACTGAATGGAATCAATGCAGAAAGGCTGCCTCTGATCCAGAACGTGAAAAGTAGCTTGAGTGCAGTCTTGTGTCGCTCCCTCAGGCTGGGCCCTACTTAAGTGACTGAGTTTTAGCATCACTGAGAACTGGAAAGTGCAGAGGGCACAAGAGAAGGCGTGATTCATACCAGTGGCATCCTGCATTCACTCATTGGATGAATACTTACCCATGCCTATACGGGCCTATAAAGATGATAGCTTACCGTTTGAGTATGTTTAATTCCAGAAGAACGTTCAAATAAATTGTTGTAAGAGGTAGCAAATGACACATTTACATGACAGCAAAATGAAATCGGCTCTATAATATCCCAAGTCTCTAAGACGTTTTAATTGTCATTTCAATCCACTTGAAGGGGATGCCTACGTTTTAATTTTACAGGGCTTTTGTCATACAAAATATTTCCAGTCAGAACCTGAAAAACCTTGCTCTGAAGTAGCAAGTAGCTTTTGTTTTAAAAATTTCCTAATGTGATGTGACAAGATGGGAAGATGTAAATATGAAAATATGCATAGGAGAATGATTCATTGCTAATAGTGGTACACTGATGTTTAGCAAAATTGGTTGGGTAATATACATCGCAGTTTCTTATATAATGAAAAGTGATTTATTGGTTTATGCTGAATAGTACATGCTCTAAAGTTTCATTTGGTTGCAAACATTATTCTCTACTTAAAATGCATTGTGGAGAGAAAATGTGCCTTTTACTATAGCGAAAATTAACTCTTCCTGGAGATCAGTTAAAAGCGAAAGAATTACCGGCTGTGTTGGACGTTACTGGCCTCGCTATTGCCTCCGATTTGGTTTCACAAAGAAAGTCATCGATGGAGGGACTCAGAAGGGGTCTGCTTTCTTGCTGTTCATTCACCAGCTGAGAACAAATGAACACAGGTGTCAAAGGGCTTTGTTAAACTGCAGAATCAGATGAATTAAAATGCAGCCTTGCAACAAAATGAGAATAGCAAGCCTACCAAAAAATAAATAAATCAATAAATAATGGGATGGGGCAAGAAAAAAAATACTAAGGGATGGGGAATGAGCCTTTTAGCACTGTCAATGTATTTTTGATGCAGCCAACTTCAATTTTTAAAGCTCAAGCCTTTTTTTCTCCTCCTAGAACAGTTTTAGAGTTATTGTCTAATTTCAAGGTGTAGAAAATGACATCTATTGAATCACAGCTCCTAAGGAGCAGGCCTGGTTTTCACATGGACAAAAAGCTCCTACTGAGACCTGGAACACTGGTTTCAGATGTTCTGGTTAGGATGGTCAACCAGTGTTACGTGGTAAATGCACACACGCCGATCTATGTGTGTGTAGATAAACACTCTCCTTTTCTCCCTCTCTTAAAAAGCCCAAGTCACACACAACTTTCTTTACATTTCCTTGGAATGCTTTTGTAGTGCATAACAAACATTATTTTGGGAGAGTGGAAAATATTGCTATATTAACGGTACTGTTGTATTAACTGTAATCCAGTAAATATGTGTGTGAAAAATCTGCATGTAAAATAAACTTTTATAAATTCAATGATATTTTCCCATTGGCTTGCTCTCTAATCTCAGAAATCTTTCAGTTTGATTTTTAGTAGGTTTCTAATTATCAGTGGCAGACGGCTATTTCCTTCCAGTTATTCTGCACCTCTTTGAATCCAGACTTCCTCAAGTTCTGTTTCTATGGTTAAGGGAGAAAATACACTTATGATACACAAGTGGTTAATCCCTCAATTAACTGTCTTAGTTTTTCAGGAGTTTTTATATTGGCCTTTCTTAAAATGGGCACAGTTATCCAGTTTTCTACTTCTTATAAGAAAATGATGCGCCTAGAAATCTCTAGATTTTTAAATACTTATTTGCAAGGCTGTATTTTAAGTGACACAAAATAACAAATGAAGTGTTGGGAGTATTACCAAATCAAAATATTTTATATGACTCTACTCACTTTCACTCCATTGTTTCTTTGGCACAATGTCAATGGTGTTATAACTTAGGGCTTATGGAAGATGACAAGAGACCCAAATAATGGTGGAAATGGAAGGAAAAAATGCAGTTCTATTATTGCTGAAGGAGGAATATGGAAACACTCAGTGATCATTTGGGGACTGAAACCCAAGAGGCACATTTGGTACTTTTACATAGTCATACTATTATCCGAACAAGGATAAATCTCAGATCTTCACTAGTGTTTAAGATTTTGACATAGAGTTGGCAATCTGATTTTTGTACATATTAATTTGTGGACATTATTGGGGGATAAACGTTGAGAATGCCCCTTTTCTTTTAGTGTTGAAGTTCCAGTGATAGAAATTTCTTCACTTATTCTAAGTTTTAATGTTACAAAGTATAAAGACACAGATTTGTCTAGGAATCAAATTATCCAAGGTCTGTTTTGGTCTTAACCTTTTTTTAGGATGTTCCTTTAACCCATAAATGAAACTGCATTTTGTTTTCTGAATTTGAACATTCCTGGATATCATCCATCCTATTTATATTGAAATATTTTTGAATGTAGAGGAACTATGAGCCTTCTATGTTTCTGGGATAAAGTAGATTTGAATTTTTGTAAATGCCATGGTCTATTTGAGTTTAGGAGTGATTTATAATATTTTCTGGCATAAAAGTCAATATTATTATCTAGAAATGTAGTTGAAAGCACTGATATAGAATATAATATACTAGAAAAGGAAGAAATGGCTAACCATCAGTGATTCTGTGAGCTCTTCTGAAAATGTGATTAGTTTTCCAGGATCTGTATTTCATTTATAGTTAGTTCATGTAAAAACGGTGTGTATGCAACAGTTTCCAAAGGAGCCACACATTAATGTATATTTCCTGGTAGAACTTGCCCTTTTAACCATTATGTGCTTAGAGTAACGAACCCATTTAGTGTGATATTGCCATAGTGGCGTGGTACTGACTTAGAAACAATGCCCAACCTCCAGGTTGTGGCTTTCTCATGGCCCTCAAGAGAGACTTGAATTCTGCTGTGCTATAAACATTCATGGAGGATGAAGGTCACCATCAAATATGGCACCACACTATACTCATAGAAGGTATTGCAACAGGTTTGCATTTACTCAGCAGTACATTCTGATTACTTGGTCTCTGGTTGTAGGTCTTATTGACCGTGGGCTAAAGTGTGTAAGGTGCAAAGATTAAACACAGCAAATACAACTGTGACTTTAAAAGTACAAATATGTATGTGTGATGTCATAACTATCTCTTTAATAGCCATTATTTCTCTGAAGAAGCTTAAATTTATTAATAGATAACTGAGAATAAGTTTTATTCTCTTAGTCACGATTTTGAGAAATAGCATTTGTTATACAAAGATAAGTAAGAATTATATCCCACAAAAGTTCCCTTGTACTTTTTCTTTACTTTGGATACAATTAAATTCCTTTGTAGAAAAAAGTACAAATAATCTACTTCCAAATCACAGCTCTGTGACAAGATGTGTGGAATACGCCTAAATTTCTGTATATACTTTTAGCTGTAAACCCTGAAAAACTATAGTCTAAATCTGATAAAAGAACTCTAGAAAGTGAGGCCTTTGTCCACATGAACATCTAGATGGAAAAACAAAGGAAAAGGCACAATTGAGAGACCTATCCTTTTAGGCAAATCTAATTTATCAAAGGAGTCTTTTGAAGCTTGTCTCCTCCTTCAAACCTCAAACCTATTTTCTGGAGAAAGTACCTCTATATTCCCAATTTTCTCAGCATAGGAAGAAAGGAATACCAAAGAGGGGGTTGCTCAGAGAGACCCCAGGGAGCCCAGGGCTAAGACGTGGCCCCTCCAGTCTTCTCCTAAACCCCCACCTCATAAGGTCAGTGTCTCTTCCAGACCTACTGTCTTGTTTCTGACCACGGTTCACATCTTGACTGATGGAATTATTAAGACTGCCCGATTCCCATGACTGAGCTGCTGCTGTGGCTTTCTTTCGCGGATATAAATCAAAGAGGAAGCAAGAAACTACTTTCTGAGTCAGTGTTTTTCAAGCTGGAGCACAGTTTAGCTGCTCCGAAATGCTGGGGTTGGAGTGGGAGAGAGCGGCAGGGCTCAGAGGTGAAGAAGATAAAGGGCCAGATTTCAGATAGCATGGAAAGGTAATTTGGGAACTGAAAGTTTTTTTGGTTTTGATTAAGATATGGAAGATGCAAAAGAAGATATCATGAAGAAATGTTTTCTTATAAGCTCTGAGGTCAGAGGCTATGTCTTACTCATATTTATATCCTTCACAACTTGGAATAGAATGTCTTTATATAAGACATTTATATAATGTCTTATATATAAGAACGTCTTTATATAAGAAGGGCTCAATAAACATCTACCAAATGGGACAGTGACTTTGCAGAAACTGGAGATATAATAATACCTATCTCAAACAATCCAATTTTGACCTGTCTTCAGTCAGATGAATTCAGGAATCATTATTTTAGCCATACTAAGCCCCATTTTCTTTTTATTTGTATAGCTTAGTATATAGCTTTTCACATGACCCCTTCCTTATTTTCAAACAAGTTTATGGTTTTCCTATGGTGACCTGAGAATAAATAAATCTTTTAGGTCATAAAAGAAAATTGTAAAACTGAACTGAATCCCCCAGATAGTTCCCCTAAGCTTTACTTCCAAATCGTATGCCATTTATTCTCTCTGTGTTCATTGGTAGATATGGCTTATTGACTTTCTCTTAGAATTACTTCCTTCAGTTTGAAAATACTTTACGAACTTACCTCATTTCATCCTTCGGTTCAGAGTACACTGATGTCATAAAAATAATAAAAGGCGAGTCAAAAGGTTTCCAATTTTTTTTGAATACCCGAGTTGGAATGATTGCAATTTTGGTCCAATCAGATTATCATAATTGAGTGAAAATGACCCACTTCGTTATTAGATGCTAAGTCCTTTGTCTCACTTTGTTTACATTTTAAATTTTCATTTCTTATCCTCCTCTGTCCTCTTTTCAGTATTTGGATCAGTTCAAAGCCCTTTCTAATGGTGACAGATTCTTATTTCTCTTTCAGGCACATTGCCTGGGAACCTTCTTCAGCACCAGGCAGTGGGTGCCTTCTTCTGGCATCTCCACGTTCCCATGCTTTACCCAGTTTTCTAACTTTAGTTTTATCTGTTTTCTTCCCACCAGACTATGGCCTTTTTGAGGGTAGAGACCTTATACAATTAATTTTTGTATCTCATACTAGCAGTTTAACAACTGTTGACTGATTTTATATAGTCTAACTGAATGGTAAATTGTACAAAAGAATGACTGCATGGGCATCCTCAATTTCATACGGGGTTTGATCAACTCACAGAGAGGCTAGTGGTCCTCAGAAATGTTTACCAATTTCCTGGCAGATTTTAAAGGACAAATTGAAGTCCATTTTCCTCTAGTCTCACATTACTTAAATGTTTGGAAACCCAGAGGTACCTAAAGGGACATTTCCAAATGCAAGGCTTCTACTAAGAAGTCAAGAATGCAAAGAGTGAAAACTAAATGCAAAAAATTGAAATAAAGGCATAGGCCTGCCCCACCCCATCCTTGAAAGAAGGACGTGGACCAATGTAAATGGGAGGCCAGAGACACTTCAAGACATAACACTACTACCTCACTTGGGAATTTTAAATCAGAGATTCCAATGTGGAGATTTTGAGGGAAACTTCTTATATGGTCAATGGACATGGAAACAAAAGGAAGCAGTAGAAGTAAGAAGGCAGGTGAGGAGTTGCATGCAGGGGCTTCTTGTCACTCAGAATTCAAAAGATGATTGAAACTTTGCACCTTCCTCACAATCATGGGCAGTGAATGAAATATTCAGTCAAAGGCTTTCAATTTACTTATGACTTAGTCAGACGGGCCAGTTGATGTGGTTAATATTAGCCACCACAGGACCAAGTTGGTTCTTATTTTATATCAATATTGTTTTGGGTTGAACAAAATGCAGACAATATCATCCAGCTTTAATGAGTTATTATCCCTTTTAAAATTTTGCCTAAAAATGCATTTGCCTTAGTTCATCCTAGATTTCTCTAATCTCAATGTTAAAAAAATTAAATTATTATATGATCTAAGCTACGGGGGTATTTAATCAAGAGGAGAGGAGAGTATTTTGCTTTTACAATCTGCCATTACTTAAGCTCCAGTGTATGTTTATATAGCTTGTTTTGTGACTTAAATCTGTTTGTTTATCTTAAACAATATATTGCTTAGGTGTTTCATTAAAAAAATATAGACCTAAAAGTTTGTGATAATTTATATCACTAAGAATTAACTCCAAATCAAAATACATTTCAGATGATAAAACAAGGTCTATGAAGGATAATAATCCATTATCCTATAATTTTATACTTCAGATTGATGATCTTAAATTGTTGTTTTAGTTTAAAAATATTGTTTTTATTTTAAACATTTTAGTACTTAGAGAATAATTTAAAAAGTTAAAACATTGAAGCTATTAAGTTAAAAAACAGTTGACAAATATCTCATATTTGTAATGTTGACTTAAACAGTTTGTAATAATATACCATGTCTTTTTACCTAATCTAAATAATAGAAAAAATGTAAGATTGTAACATGCTTTTAGTAGATATATCTTGATGCATTTTGAAAATTTCTTTATTATTTGTGACATTATTTGTTGATTCAAAATATGTGTCATTTGTTAAGTAGGTTTTCATTCATAATTCTGTAATTGAACTATTTGTTTACGGCTTTATAGGTCCTAGCCAAGCTTAGAAATTTGTGCAATGCCCATCAGAATAGTGGCCGTATCAAAACTGAGTTAACTGACTCAATCTATTGAAAAGACAAGACAGCTAAATCATTACCACACATCCCTTAAGTATTCAGACTTTGAGAATTTTGTCACGGTAACTCTGACACCCTATAGAGTTAATTTCTTATGAACTAACAGTACTAATGGTTCTGCCCCATGCCCAGTTCTTATATATGGGTCCCAGTGGCTCTTCCTGTAAAGGATAACCATGTGACAACTTTCAACTCTTTAACTTGATCTAAAAGTCAATCAACTGACTACCAATATTTTCCTGACAGGATAGTTAGACTTACAAAATATGAATCTATTTACAGGGAAACAAACAGATATTACCATTTACAACTTGGGCAGTACTAACACTAAGGCAGGCAGGAGAACATAATTAAAGCAATTGTTTCAAGTTAGTAACAGAAACCCAAACAAGGCTATATTTAGTAGTCCTGAGAAAATTTTTCGAATCAAGAATATTACTCTTTTTATCTTTATCAGATGCAAAGATTAAATCAATATCGAGGTATAATGGGTGGGGAGAGATAGAAAAACAAAGGCTGTTTGCAAAAAAAAAACCACAAAAACCCCTTAACAAGAAGAGGTCTGGAACACACAGTTTTAAGATACTGTGCTCTAGAGCAAAAAATTAATGGGATACACCTTGCTAAAACATGTACCAGGAGAGGTGGTTAAAATGAAAAGTTCTGAAGGTTCCTTATGAGAGAAAAATATTCACTAAAGTCATTTCATTCTCATAAACAACAATACATTTTTTTCCTATGATATAGTCAACTTCTGGTACATAGTTTTTCCTTCTATTCTCAAATTGGGTTTATTTATACCATTACAATCTAGAGCAGGGCTGCTCAATAGAAATATAATGAAGACCCGGTAATGTTAAAATTTCTAGTAGCCACTTTAAAAAAAGTGAAAAGAAACAGGTAAAAATAATTTTAATATTATATTTTATTTAGTCCAATATCTAAAATATCATTTCAACATGTAATCAATATAAAAATTATTAATGCAATAGTTTACATTATTTTTCTTTGGACTAAATCTTCAAAATCCAATGTGTATTTTATACTTACAGTAAATCTTAATCTGGGGTAGACACAAAACATTCAATAGCCACATGTGGCTAGTGGCTACTCTATTGGACAGCACAGCTCTAGAGAAACTTTTTTCCTCAAAGATTTGATGATTCACGTAATTTTTTCTTCAAACCTTTCATCAATGCACTCTTGTTGACATACAGTTTGACTTAAAGTGTTAGTCTAGACCAGCATGAATTTGAGCTTCTCTGAAGTGCTTGACGTATTTTTTGTTAATACAGAATTAATAATTAAGTTAAACAAAAAGAGCAATTCTCAGGGGCCCAGCAATTTCTGAGTTCAGGTCACCTGGCCAACTCTTCTGTTTTGTTCAATTTCTTCAATGTTCTATTAATGACTTCACTGGAGTATATTTGTCTCAATCTCTCTAAATGTGATCATAATAATCACCTAATACAAACACAACGCTTGAATATAAACTATTTTACTCTTACAATCTGTTGAATGAATAGTTACTAAACAAGTTAAGAACTTGTTGTTCGAGGACTTATTCTGTATGTTATCGATTATGATTGTCCCAAAGACATTATTGACAGAGCAGCACTTAGCTTGAGACATATCTGGAATCTATGAATGAGCAGCTGGCATCGACATACCAGTGGTGAGGATGAGTCAATGTGTTCAGCAGTATGTAGCACTATCGTAAGGGGCTTTACAGGAGACACCAGGACAGACATGTTTCAAGACACTAATACATTCACACAGGATAACGAGTAAGAATGTGGTATGGTACACGGACTGGATGCTGTGGTTGCCATGAAAAGTACTCACTTTTTCAGATCATTCTGCTGCTTTTTGGCTTGTGCATGCCACTGGTGCATAGCAGGGAAGAAGCCACTTGTGTATAGTGGAAAAAGTATATCAACTAACAAAACTGCATTTGACTGAGAAATAACTGTATCACAGCTGTCACTGAATTAACTCCATAACATTATCAACACAGCAGGTGCATTACATTTTATGAATCAGAACTCTCTGTTTGCTGATTCATAAACTAGCCGGTATGCAACAAGAATATGATGCATCAAAGAAAGCATTATATAATCTTCATGCAGTAAAATTGTAACTAGACCTCAAAAACACTTAATGCAACATTAGACAGGAATTAAAGAAGAAACTTGGTACACACAAATGTTCTGAATATGAGAAAATGGTAATAATCACAATTTCTTCTCTAAATTAAAAAATCAAAAATATTATTTTGCATTAAATTTTAAATTCAAGCTTAGGTTATAATGGTAATTTCGGACATTTGGAAAGGATTACTGGAAAGCACATAGCAATGCATGGTTTTGGAAAAAAAGAATTCTGGGGACTGGAGCCTGTCCTAAATTGTGATGTCCTAAAACATGTTATAGCACAACTATGCCAATTGCAAATTTGGGTAAGTCTTATCTACCGATGTATACAGCTCTGTCATTAGCTGAGAACTCCAAGTAGTTCTCATCTTCCATAGCCTTCCCCTGAGGAACTGTGGACTGAATATTTTGGACACGGATTCTGTAAAGGGCAGGAGATCAATGTAAAACCGTATACGTTTTACTATGTAAATAAATTAAGAATGGAGACTTGGTAAATATCGAGCAAATTTCTTTCCAACTACTACTATGTGTCATTGGGAAGAAGCATGTCTTCTTTACAGACAAAAAACTCACGATATAAAATTTATCCCAAAGTCCTGGGAATCTTTAATAACTTTTTTTATTATTCAGTTTTGATGTTATATGTTATAATTTTCATCACTTACAACATAGTGTTTAGAATAAAATAAAGCCACACATGTTGGCAACAGCTGGGGATGCGCTCTGATGATATTCTAAAAATAAGTTGCCATAATTTAGCTTTTGATATAAATGCCTTTCATGAGGACTGTAAATGGACATTTTTCTAATTCTAGACATGTTCATATAATTGGAACTGAATCGCTGCATTTACTATTGCATTACAGAAAAAAAGAAATGTTTAAGATAACAATCTAATCTAAATTATAAGATAAATGCAAGTAAAAATATTTTTCATTTAAGAATTTAAAACTGATAGCTCCACAGAGTAGTGATGAGTATATTATACATATTTATGTGGATTTTACAGGGTGTTTCAAAAGTCCCTGAGGACATACAGGATACAGTCTCAGCGTGTCTTTGCATACAAATGCAAACCTTTTTCTATACTTGTTATAATAAATGCTGAAAATGGCCCTCATGTGCTTATAATAGAGATGGTATTTTTACTGTCAAGGTCACTAAGTAGAAGAGGGGTCACAAATGCCATTTTCTGCATGGGGACTCAGGGACTTCTGGCTCATTCCTGTAAATTACTTATCCACATAAATATGTATAGACATATATGTAGTATGCATAGTCACAACATAAATATATTTAACATTTAAGAAAATTTAGATATTCTACTGGTAAACTGACATATGTATACAATATAACTTGTATTTATTCATAGGAATTTGATTTTTTTTTTTTTGGTCGTTGTTGTTCAAATGTATCATTAGCTTAATTGTTATTTCTTTCCCAAAGTTGTTAGCAAGACTCCTTTATAAAGAAGCAACATGTTTTACTTGCATGTACATTTTCTTTTTTTTTAACTAAAGTTGAGTAATGGAAATGAATATCCGTGAATAAATCACTAAATGATGCCATTTTCCTTTTTTAGCAATTTTGTTTTTCATTTTATACTGTATAATTGTTTCATTGAAACTGTGCTTTTTAAAAAATTGATTCAAGTTAATGTCTTTTTTGCTAGTTAAAAATCAGTGTCTGATATATTAACATATGTCAGCTTCCTACAGGAACCCTATGGGTCTGCCCACCTGTGATGTCATAGTTAGGAGGGGCTTTTCTTCAGCAGACTCCTCCCTCGGTATCTCCTTCATCACCATGGCAACAGCCTTATCTGCCGCCCTAGAGCCTTTGCCCTATAACAGTGAAATCAACAATGACTTGTGTCAGGAGAAATCTTTAACTTATTATTTATTACAAGATATTCTAATGTTTAAAGAGCAATCCAACATATATGAAGAGGTAGGCTGCTGCAAGTGAATCTTGAGGCTTTTGGCTGAGGAGAAAACACACAAAATCTGAAAAAAGATTATTTGTGAACTTTTAGTTAGCTACTTTTTCACCTTTACAGCTGACATTATATTTAATTTTAACATAGTATTTTATATGTATAATGTATTTTAAGGCAATTTACATGACATGAACATAATTTTTATAGTATCAATTTAAAAACACTATGGATTGCCTGTTATGTTCATTTATAATTATTTCTATATAATCCCTAAATGTTTTGAATCACAGTGAGGAGTCTGGGGTGGGCATTAGGAACAGAGTCTGACTCCCACAGAGGGCTTTTGCTGGGTGATCTCCGGAGCCTGTCATTTTTTAGTGGATTGGGCATAAAATGAGTATAAGTGTCATAAAACCTCTAAAAAGCCTTCAAAGGCCTAACATCGCAAGAATTCACCCAGCTTGTTTAATTTGTGGTGGTAGTATGAAAAAAATTTGCCACTCTCAATGCTTTTGAGACCAAAGAATTTTAGAAATGTCTTTTAATTGCAGAACCCCATAAATCCAGATGTGAATAAAGGATGGTTAATAATTGAGGCACTGATACATATACATATACACAGCTACACTTTTTGTCTCATACAAGCAGCTTATGGACTGTAAAGAGGTGGGCTGGCTTTCTGTCTTTTTAGTTTACCAGACTACTTAGTTTTTGAGAGTAGATACGGCATAAATGGAAAAAGCAAAACAAAATATCACCTTCCCAACCCAATTAGAAACATCTCATACTATGTAAAAATTAAATAATCTAAACACTTTAAAAACAAAAATCTTCCATTTTCTTAGGTCTCTGGCCTCCCTGAAGAAAACACTTGTATACTAAAAGCACACATGGATATCTGTGTTGTAAATCTACTTAAAATACAAATGTAGCATACAGAGATATCATAGGCAAAGAAACAAAAATGGACATATGGGGATCTGATGTCTGAAAGGGAATTAAGAGCTAGGGTCAATATTAACTACAGAGGTTAATAAATCTTGATGGTTTCTATGCAACGAAAAAGGATAGAATTACCTTATTAGCTTGGGCTTGCACAGGGCTTTAAGTATTCAGAAGATAGGTTTACTCTAGGAAGCAAAACATTGTCCATTTTCTCAGGCATTGTCTTTCTAAAATGTAACGAGTGGCAGCTTTTCTTTAGGAAAACAAAGAAAAGCTTTCTGTATAGTCACTACCTGTTAAAATGTGTGAATCTCTTTACATTGCTGAAAGTTTGTTTTGACTTAAGAACTAGCATTACTGAATGATAATGTGTTATTTCCAGGGTGGAAAATCAACTACCAGAGATTTTATTCAGTAAGTATAACAGTAGCAATTTTTGTATGTGTTCTGAAAAGTTAATATGGCCACAATCCTTAGAATAACTGACTTCAGGAAGAATAAAGGGCAACAATGATTCACTGCATAACAAATTAGGCTGCATAATGATCCCAGGTTTTTTCTTTAAAGAAACGATTTCAATTTTCTAAAATAGAGGTGCATACAATTCTAAATTCTGGGAAAAGATTTATTATGGCTCTATTAAACTATTTAACATTTTTTCAAAATATAAAAATTATTTGGATGAAACATTATACACTATAGCTTAGTATACCTTTATAAGCTACACTCATTTACAGACTAAATATAGTTTAACAAATAGTTTTGCAGCTTATTTTTTTCAAAAGAGCAAAATCATTGTGAAGAATTCTTTCCATGCTCCAAGAAGTTCTAATAATATAGCAATAAACAAAGTGGCATGCTTATATTTAAATTCCTACTATATTTAAAAGAACAAATCTAATGTTACAAGGTATAATTTTAAAAAATAATAATAATTCAGACTCTTTTCTTGGGCTAAGAAAAAAAATGTCAATTGATAAGCATCTCAAAAAATTTCAGGTCGATATTTCAATATACCATTTATTTGAAATGCTACCAATCCATAAACTACATATAGATATTTTTCACATGTGCAACTATAGTAGCTAGAATTAGCAACGGACATGCCATTTCACTAAAACAAAAACAAAACAAAACAAAAATTAGTCCTTTCATGCTGAACTCTAGAACAAAGCAGTGGTCAGCTAGAAAGGATGTATAATAAACACATGCGGTGCTTTTTATTTCTTGCAGAAAAACCCACCAAAGCCAGGGTCAGGTCACTTTTTTGAAGACAGTGCCACTTTTTCTTCAAGGTTACACCTACTACCTGAAAAGAGTCATGACACCCATGTTAGTGCTTGCTAGCAACTTTTTGTCTTTATAGCCTTTTGAGTTATTACCCCATGAGCCTCACTGTTTTGCAAGTAAGGTACAGTCTGAGAACAACAGGAAATTCTGCCACAATGACATCTCCGAGGTTCCAGAGACCGTGTCTACAACCACTACCAAATCAAGCGAATACACTCAGATATCAAAGCAAGATTTCCCTCAGATCATATTGCCACCTCCACCTGGTATCTTAAAATCAAGCTGTGTTACTTCTGATTTGTCCATTTATCTTGTGGGGTTATGCTTCTCGAATTCAGAACCTGGCTGATAATTGATTTGGCAATTCATGAAACTATACAACTGTGCTTATCAGCAGCTCTGCAGGGCTGACAGTAATACAACCATGCAGGTGTATTTTTGCTTTTTTGAAGTCAGTGGCTTAAAATGTTCTAAGAAATCTGTATGCATAATTATCTGGACTTCAAGTTCAATTTTCTAAATATAACTACACCAAAGGGTCAATATTAACCTATTATTTGAAATGACATGAAGACAGGAAAAATGAAATATACACTGAATATACACTCAAGCATATAAGTGGATTTAGATTACAGTAAGACGTGATGCTTCTCCATCATACTTAGCAATAACATTTTCTGTTAATAAAGAACAGCGAAAAGTTACAAGTTGATTACCACGTTGTGACACTCTTCAGCAATTAGTTCAGCAAATTTCTTTTCAAATAATACTTGAAAATCACCTGTTCCCCCTTCCTTCATGAATTTTTTGAAATATTTTTGATTGTGTGGAAAACAATATCAGCTTAAGGGGAAACTTCTCTTTTTCTTGGTGATTTGTTACAGAAAATTCTATTTCTTTTTGTTTCTTTTATCATTTTGTTTTCTCACCAATGAAATATATAAAATGGCAGCTTTTCTAACAAATAATAATTCTTGAGAATAATCTGTTAATTAGCTTCTATTATAAACCCAGGCATAAATGAATGATACACATAAATGAATGAACAGCAAGTGACTAACATTTATTAAGAAAAAATTTTGGCCCACTTCTTCTCCTTTTTTAAATATAGAAGATAAGAAACAGAGTAAAAAGTATTGGAAGTCACAGGATCTTCTCAGGCTGGATACCAGGCTACGATGCCACCAGAGGTCACCAGGACATGTGGAGATGTGTCAGTTCTAGGCTTGTCTCACAGGAAAGGAACTAATCTTTGGAGGAGCTATTGTGTGCTGGGCACTCTGTTAGATGTCTTACATATTTTTATTTATTTGATCTCATGAGAGCTCTGTGGGGTAGATTTTATTATCTTTGCTAGATAATTCGTGGCATTCAGGCTCAGTGACAGTGCAATTTGGCCAAGGCCTCAAAGCTGGTGTGTGGCTGAGCTGGGACTGGAACCCAGACCCAGGTTCCAGCCTGCGTGCTTCCTTCTCTACCACACCCTTCTCTCTTCCTTCAGCTTCCTGAGGCCGGAGCGCTCTCCCACACTGCCCTCACTGACTGCCTTCACCATAAATGTAGCTTGTTTATGAGATCATTCAAGTTTGGGGCAGCAACCACTTCTCGGTATAATCGCACAGTCCGGATCTAAGAAAACATTTCTGAGAAATATTTTCTTCAGTCTGCAATGGTCAGTAAAAACCAGCCACCCATAACTTCACTCATGAGTGCATTTCTAACAAAATGATTTTGTTTCTCCTATCTTCATGGAAAACTAACCTAAGCATCCCATGTACACACATTTCTTTTTATTCTGCAGATCTTATTAGGTTTATAAGTTTTAGCATCTCTCTAATTCTTATTAAACGCTAACTCAATGCTATTAAATGCCATTTTTACTAGGGTTTTCCTGAGATCTATTTTGAGCAGATGAAATACTTAAAGTATGCAATTCCACAGTTACACCGTCCATTTGTGAGCAATTTTCTAGTTGCAGATTCTATTACTGCTGCTATGAAGTTTGTAACTTAACATGATTCTTATTATTCTTAATCTATCAACAATAATCCAGTCTCTTTATCAGAGATACTCAACAGAAGAAATGGAGATACATTAAATAAGAGAAAGAGTAAAAGACTACAGTAGTAGACATCTCTGCTAACCCTAAATTATCTGATATATGAAATTAAAAAATAGTCTTCCTTTTGTTCTGATTATAAACATTAACATATGCTGTTGCCAAAGATTGAGAAAAAACAGAAATAAGAAAATAAAAACAGCAATCCTGATATTTCATACATTTTTTCCCAAAATTTCATATTTACAATATTAGAGATTAAACAGTTTTTTAGAATGAATGTTCCAAGGATAAACAAACTACCATCAAGCTTAGAAGTGTGGATGTATTGAATATATTTCTTCATATATACACACATGCAAGTAAATACGTGCCATCTATATCATTTTAGCGACATCATTTGAAATGAAATGACATTCAGTTTTGCATATGCTAAAAAATTATATATCTCATAAATTCTGGACCCTGGACTTAAACAGACCTGCAGGAAATGACTACAAAAAGGCTAATTTCTGCTGGTTGTTCTTGATTCTCACGTGCAGAGCCAGGATAACCTTCCTTTACTCGGGAAGGTAAATGTCATGGCAAGTGTCATGCTCTCTTCAAACTTCCCTTTCAACACGGGAGAATGTGAGAGCAGTGTTTCCCAGTGTCCCCTGAACGCCAGCTATCTCTGCCTACCATATTGTGAGCTTTCCCAGGTAAGTGTGCTCCTGTAGAGTTCTTCCAACACAGAGTAGGGTTCAGACCATGCTGGTTCTATCACGGTTACATTTAACCCATTTCTCCCTCGACAGAATGTTTTCTAAATTTAAAAAGTGGTAAAAATAGAACTAAGTCTGGGCATACTGGTCCATCCTTGTTTCTAAACATCCTGAAGAGACGGATCTAGATGTAAACAATTGTGAACCATGGACAGAATTTCCTCTTCTCTTAACTAGTGATTCATATGTGGAATTCACAGATCATAATGCATTCACCATTGATTCAGCGACCCATTTGTAGCTGGAAATAATGTGATTTCTGATTCCTTAATAAGGGTAGTCAAGTTGCAGTAAAGAAATTGATGCCTCTCTATTTAAAATAATGACACAGGGCATTTAAAAGGATGACTTTCAATTGATCCTCCATCTATTTCTTCCTTACTTTTTTTCTTTTCCCCTTCAGCATTGCTTTTTCCAGTTGAGAGTTGCACTCTTCCCCAAACCATGCCCTGTGCTAGGAAGTCTTCTGGGATGAGTGAGGAGTGGCTCTAATTGCATTCTACTATACAACTCCCATGCCCTCAGTTTGTGTTATGTGTTAATCGCACTTCTTGTTGTGCCCTTCCAGACTGTGTATGTGGTAGTGGGAGAAAGTCATGGATAACAATCTCTATGGTCTTTAACTCTGAACCTCCACCCACGAAAGTCACTGGGATTCCAAGCCCAACACACGCACACTCACTTTCCTTTCCTTGGTGTGAATGATTGGTGCAGGGGGACATTGTGACTTTCATGGGCCTAGCATTTCTTTTTTTTTTGTGATGAAGATTGTCCCTGAGCTAACATCCGTGCCCATCTTCCTCTACTTCATATGTGGAATGCCACCACAGCACGGGTGGAGGAGCAGTGTGTAAGATCCAAACTCGTGAACCCAGGGCCACTGAAAGAGAGTGTGTGAACTTAAGCACTATACCACTGGGCCACATGGGCCTAGTATTTTTGCATCCATAGGCCCCTTCCTCCATAAAAAAATGTTAAAAATTGTGTTTTATGACTGCATTGGTATAAAGACAAACAAATTCCAGACTGGATTTATTATTACCCACATATTAATATAATAGCCATTTTGGGGGTTCTGATTTTAAGAGTATGGTGTCCCTGGAGCTGCTCTCTCTGTCACCTCTGGGTGGTCTATTTTGGCAGCGGCTGCTTCCATCTCCCCGCAGCTCCTCCATTTTGGCTGTTCCTGCCCTAACAGGCCTTTTGTGACTCCTGCTGTTCTCACTATTTTTGGTAGGATTCAGGGAGTCTCTCCCAACAGTAATCACAAATCTTTTTGGGTGCCCAATCAGTAGCTTTCATCTTGTAGTCCTTTTTTTTTTTTTTTTTGGTGAGGAAGACCAGCCCTGAGCTAACATTTGTTGCCAATCTTCCTCCTTTTGCTTGAGGAAGATTGTTGCTGAGCTAACATCTGTGCCAATCTTCTTCTATTTCATGTAGGATGCCGCCACAGCATGGCTTGAGGAGCAGTGCTAGGGCTGCACCTGGGATCTGAACCTGTGAACCCTTGGCACTGAAGTGGAACGTGTGAACTCAACCATGACGCCACTGGGCTGGCCTCATCTTGCAGTTCTTAAAACACGCTCAGAAAACCTGGAACGATTAGGCCTGAGGCAGAAAACATTGATATGTAAAACTGATGTGACTTTAAAATGTAATCTCTCCACCAGGCAACAAGTCCACGCACTTCATTCTGGGTGTGTTCTTGACCAGCCGGGAACACTTCTGAGAAAGTTGAGTCAACCTGTGTCTCTTCTTCTATTAAAAAAATCAGCCCTTAGTTGGTTCCAAAGCACTCCTCACCATTTTTTCCAGTTACACAGTGGGTCACTTGAGGCACAGAACTTCTCAGTACCCACAATTCCTGAGTTGTGCATGTGGATTAAGCTCTTCCCAGGGTCCTTGTTATAATTATTTTATGAAATATTCTTTGTGTCTCATCAATGAAACTTCCTTGTGTGAACCAAGATTGTGCTCATTTCTTTTGCATCATTTTGCATCATTTGGTATAGCAATAGACATTCAAGTTTGCTCAATAAATACAAGTATTAGATAGCTTTTTCAAATTATTTAAGATATTGAAATCACATAGTATGGCCAGCTTTGATAGAAGGTGATTCTGAATGAGATAAAAAGTCTTAATTAGACATTTAAAGAAATGAAATAACTTCAAACATCTAAATAAGAATTCATTAAAATTAATAAATTGTTGCCAAGTAAAGATACTTAAAATTTGCTCTGAAGGACAGGTAAGACTTATTTTGAATCAACATGATCCATTTGTTCACAATTTACCATTTGCTTGTTCTTTTGAGAAGGTTAAACATTTCCCCATCTCACTCTTATGGTGTCCCCCACGCTTATTTACCCTGTCTGCATAGCAAGCTTTCCTGACAAGTGGTCAAAGTGACAACACTCAGTTCTCACTGGTCTATAATCAATTCTGAATTAGTGAAGCTTTACTATCAGGTTTACTCTGATTAATGTAGCTCTAAATTACTTGGAACCTATTTTATCTTAATAGTGAGTTTCTCTATGATGCACCTGAAAGCAATTTTTGCTACCTAGGGTAGTCTCGCTTAAAAAATTATTTTCTTCTATCCTTGTTTGGCCTTGTATTGATGATGCCATAAATAATACATATTTGATAATTAAGAAGTAAATGTAGAATGGGATAAGTTTTCTTCTTTTTGTGATAAATCTCAAATTTGTCATTTGTATTTACACTTCTATAAACCTATTTATATTTGAGAGGCCTTTCATGATTGTGTGAAGTTCGTATCCAAAAAAAGGTAACCGTAATTAATGGGTTACTCTTGTTATTTTCAAGTTCTTGTGAAATATCTCAGATGATTTGCAAAACAGGAATTGTTTTAAGAAAGAGGAAAATGATATAGAAACACAAAATCCCAAACATTAATTTTTTTTTTTGAAAAATATCCCCCTAAATACAAGCACTCCAGACTGCTTGTATCTTACTTGCACAAATGGATGGATGTTCCAACACTCAAGAGAAAGTAAAGTTATGAGAATCATACATCACAGCATAAGTAGTTGTTTAGACTATACTGAATCAATGGTCTTTAGGGTGTAGGGGGAGGTGAGATACGGCATCTTTCTGGGAGGAATTAGGAGAAGAGGTCTTGAGGTCTGGTTTCTAAGTGTATGCCAGTGGCCAAGCTGGTGTGGTATATAAGATCTTAGAATGTTGAAGTCTGGTGGTAAAGAAACTTGGGAGGAATCATGTACAAAAATTTGTTTTCTTCATCATTCCTGTCTTTTCCACATTTTCTATGATTGAAAAATTTTCCAAAGTAAATGTAATGAATAAGAATCCCGCTGGGTAAATATGTAGTCAGGACCATGAAACAGTTCCCTTGGATTGATATGATTACCTGTGAAACTCTTTTACTTATCAGTGATTATATGCATCCCCCAATTTCTTGCCACTAGTAAGGAAAATATGTATACCAAATCAAAAAACAAGTTATGAGAAAGAATTTTCCTTCCTCTATCAAATTAGAGGTTTATAAATGTTGACAGTCATTATCTTAGAGCAAAAATAGATAGAAAGACCATATGGTAAATATATTCTTACCAAATTATTGAATTTGAGATAGCAAATTTATCCAGACGTCATAAGGTAGAATTACATTGTATCCATTTTCTTTCTAGAAGAGGACTGATAACTAGTGAGCTGGAATTCATCCCCTTTATGAATGTTTTAGGCAAATTCTATTACTAATTTATGAACAAGAGTTGTGGCCTTGGAGCCTGACTATTCAGTAGCCTTCTTAGTGGCTTTCCTCATCTTCTGGCAGGTGCAAGTGTTTTTACCAACTTGTTCCCAAATGCTCAGTTTTGTTGATATAACTTACAAAAGGTAAGTTTCCTTAATTCACAAGCTACTAGCCGAGAAGCTCTCAGCTAAGGTACTCCATCTACCTCACTTCCCTGAAATAGCTCGAAGAGAGAAGCTGAGCCTTTGGGAATTCCTACTCTAATTTCAGATCAGACTCTGGCATCTCTGAGTATCTTGATAGTCCTCTGGGGGTCATCTGCAATGTGGGGGTTGGCTCCTCCCTAATGCTTCCTAGTTCCTTGAAAGCGGATGAATAGTCTCTCTCAGCTTGTGGAGAGCAGTTAGGGAAAGTACCGAGAGATCTTGGAGCTGTGAGCCTCAGTCAGTGTGTGGCCAGGTGTGGTCAAGGGGACTGCCAGCTAATGGATCCAGTTCAGCCTCCATGGTCAGTGGAAGAAAAAGAGAATGGCCATGTGGCATGCTGGCACCAACACCAGGACTGGAGTCAGAAGACAGGAGTTTCAATCTCAGCTCTGCCTTTTATAAATTATCCTATCTAAGACTTCATTTTACCTTCTGAAAATAGGATAGAAATACTATCTATTTCATAAATTTGTGAGAATTAAATAACAGCATCCATGAAAGTACTTCCATAATGTCTGGCACATGGTAGGTAGTCAATGAATATTAATTGATTATGAACTGTTACTGCTGAGCTCATGGACTCTGTGGCCTAACTGTCCTTATGAGGTATGTGGCCAAAGATGTAATATTATGTTCGTGAGATTCATACATGGAATAAGAAGTGATAGTTACTACATTCTCACTACAGATAGCACTCAATCATCTGAATATACCACAATTTATCCATTCAACTGTTGATGGACATTTGGATTGTTTCCAGTTTTTGACCACTATAGAAAACAGTGTAATGAACTTGAGTTTAGAATCCATACGGAATGGAAGAGGAGCAAACAACTGAAAAATAGATGTGAAAAGAGTAAAGAGACTTCAATAACAGCAACAAAGGAAGAGAGCAGTCACAGTAAGGGTAAGAGGTCTTATCCATGAGCAAAGTAAGAGGAAGTCTGAGTCTCTGCAGCCAACAGATAAAACCAAGGTTGAGATGACTTAAAAGAGACTGATAAGTCACAGAAACCAAGGGTCAGAAGCAAGACTGGGATGCTGAATCTAGCCACCAATAGATCATGAGAAACCAGTTTCTCATGAGTTGAGATTAGCAACAGTTACGGGCTGAATTGTGTCCCCCCCCCCCCCCCCCCTTCATATGTTGAAGACCTAACTCCCAATACCTCACTGTGACTGTATTTGCAGAAAGGGTCTTTATTAAAGAGGCGATTAAGTTAAAATGAGGTATTAGGGTAGGCCTTCATCCAATATAACCGGTATTCTTATCAGAAGATGAAATTAGGACATAGAAGAAAGACCATGTGAAGACACAGGGAACAGCCAGCCATCTAGAAGCCAAGAAGAGAGGCTTCAGAAGAAGCCAGCTCTGCCAACAACTTGATCTTGAACTTCTAGTCTCTAGAACTATGAGAAAATAAACTTCTGTTGCTTTAGCCACCCAGCCTGTGGTACTTAGTTATAGAAGTGTTAGTAAACTAATACAGTAACTAAACAACTGCCTATGAAAGATGACACAGTAGTCTTACTTTTGTACTTCAGTAACCTGTTTAGAAATATCCAAAGATAATTCAGTAACAGGGTTATTTTAAGCCTTCTCAGCTAATTCCTTTTGTGACCTTTAATCTGATTGAAAGGACTGCATAGATGTTGAAAGCTAGAAATCTGAACTCAGGTGGCCACAACTGGCCACTATGGTAGTGTCCTGTCAGGGACTGTTGCCTAAAAGAAATTTGAATGAAGATGGTGCCTGGAATGGTCAGCCAGTGCCAACAGGAGCTCTGTGCTCTCAAACTGAACTGAACTTTCAGCCACATGACCTCAAATTATAGTCTGGAACTTATTGAAAAGAATTTTCTTGTGAAAAGACAAATTTCTTTTGATTCTGAAGTTGGAATGTTCCAAAGAAGTTTTGTATTCCCAACTAAGAGTTTATTAAATTATATACATTTTAGAGACTTCAATTATTTAATATTTACATCAGTTAAAGATATAATTGACATGTACATAAACATAGAACCATTGAGGAAATACTACAAATGAAAGGAAATCATGTATCACACATAGTTTTTTTATTTTTCAAAAGCTCTTGCTAATATCTCTGCAGCTGATTTTAGGGCAGAATTTACAGCTTGTCTCTGGCTGTCACATACAGCCTGGACTGTTCTGTATGAAGATGTCACCTTGGGATGATGTCTATGGGGGACTTTAAGTGAATCAGGGCCCCTGGAGTGCCTGAGTGTTTTAAGTAAAGCCAGTTTCCCTCTTTCTAATCACCATAAATCTGTAACTCACATTTGTATTGTTATGCAGATGATGTATCAATTCATTTTACTCTTCTGTCAAACTTTCTGGCTAAAATCACATTCCTAATTAATTCCAAATGTAGAACTGTTATAAATATCAATAGATGTATGAAATTTGCTTTT